AGATTGAAGTCCCCCAGGACCAACATCCAGGGGGTCTTCAACACCAGGTCCGAGACGATCTCCATCAGCTCAGGCAGGGAGTCTGTTGGGCAGAAGGGTGCATAGTACACCAACAGAATCCCTGATCTGTCTCGGTAAATTTAAGGAAGCCTAGCTGTCCTGCCCCATCTATCTATATTTTGCCAAGATTCTTCCACTCAGAAGGGGCTGCTATGCTTACTAATACTGTCAAAAATGTAACAAGTTACAAATGTCCCCTTAAAAATTATAGCAGAAGTCCACACCCTGCACCTGCATATCTGGTATTTGGCAGGCCTCATTTCCCAAGAAAGGGCTCCTATGTCTATAAATATATTCCATTTTTGAGAAAATATAAAAGGGAACAATTTCTTTGTTTCCTATAGCCAGTGAGAAGATAGCTGAAACTTTGAGGTTTTTTGCAAATTCATGATGAAGTAGACATTGCCTACAGCAGTATAAGGCAATTCAGCCCCCTACCTAAAGCACCAAAATGTGATTTTAAGTCATCAATAAATAATGCTGTGAGTGCTGCAAGAATCTAGCATCGGACTACTGTTACATCCTGGCTGTAATATGTGCTTGACTGCAAAACTTAGAGGAACCTACACAACTGATTTTGCCCATAAAACTTTGTGTCACAACAAATCTATTAGCTATTCAAGTATCAGAGGTCTCTGCTGTTTCACCTGCAATCGGCAGGCATGGTCATACCAGTATAGAAAACTATGATCTTATCTTTCTCCCTAATTATGGGATAATCTTATTATGTCAATCCAGCATGCCAGGAATTAGGTAGTTAAACTATATTTTCTGCCTTTCCTCACTTCTTTCTGTAATAGGTTCTTTAGCTCAGAGTTCATCAGACTGCAGGAGCATCTAATTAAGTTTCATCTTGCTTGATATGGCAGTGGTTACTGTTCATTAGGAAAACAGCATCCTGAAATTTGCTTATGCCTAGACAATACTATGCAGGTACCAGAGAAGAACGGGTTCTGATTTCCAAGCCATTGGTTTGTATTAGTCTTCTTGTTCACAGCTCACAGCGCCCAGCTGCAGGAAAAGAAATGCTCACTAGTGCTAGAATGTTGTTATAAGGCTGCACAAAAGTGACAGAAAAATCTCAGAAAAAGTACTGTGAGTAATAAAGGTCACGAACGGTTGTCACTAATCAGACCTCATCTAGAATATTGTGTCCAATTCTGGGCCCCTAGATTTAAGAAAGATACAGAAAAATTAGAAAGTGTCCAGAGGAAGGCAACAAAAGTGATCCAGGGATTGGAAACACTGCCCTATGAAGAGAGACTAAGAGAACTGGGCATGTTCAGTCTTGAGAGGAGAAGACTGAGCAGGGACATGATATTCCTCTATAAGTACCTCAAAGGCTGTCACAAAGGGGAAGGTCAAGATCCCTTCTCACTGACACCAGAGTGTAGGACACCGAATAATCAAGTTGTGACAACCCAGATTCAGGCTAGATATCAGGAAAAGTTTCTTCACTGTCAGAACAATATGATGGCAGAAGCTGTTTCCTAGAGAGGTCCTGGGCTTTCCCACATTAGATACATTCAAGGCGAAAGTGGACAGTCATCTGAGTGGGATGGTGTAACTGGTGTTCAGAACAGCAAGGGATTAGACCCGATGGCCTTCTTGGCCCCTTCCAGCCCTACTATTTACGATTCTATTGCAGCAAGTCTTACACAGAGATCAATATGCACAACCAAAATAGAGGTATTGGAAACTGAAGATCTAAATGGGGTTAAAGTCTTATATACCGTCTAGATAAAACCCTTGCAAGTTCAAGCTGGCTTTGCAGTGAGGTGGTCTAAGAAGTAAAGACCTACTGCTCACTGCAATAAACAGCAGTACTTCTTTCTCCCCACTTGTTTCTGAACATTTGGAGAAAAATAAAAGCGATTACTCGCAACACTGAGAGTATAGCATTTATTTCTCATTGTTGGACTTCTTGTCTAGATGAGAAGCTTAAAATACTGAAGTTAAATCTAAATCAGGATTTGAGATTTTCACCAGAGAGATTTATAAACATGCAGAACAGAATTCAAACATAATCTTGTGGATAATTGTTCATACTGCTTGTTTTCCACAACTGATCTCTCCAAAGCAAAATGCTCTCATAAGGTAAGTGGCTATTCTCCCTAAAATCTTTTGGCTGGTTCTGTGCTTGAGAGTGTCTCAGCTAGGCGGGTCCCCTTGGTGTCCATTTTAAATGTGTCACAACACCTCTGAGTGATGCTACATGTGTCAGATACCCAGGAACATTGTGGAAAAGGTGGCTGCTCACAGAGCACTGGCCTGCCATGGAAGCCTATGGCTGATGTCAGCCATTGGCCATTTTGGAGCATTTGCATCCAGCCGGTACCTAAGGATGCTGGGTGTCCAAGTTAGCTGAGTTGATGCTACCTTCAGTTTGGTAGGCTACCTGTGTTTAAACTAATTTGTATAGATCATTCTTGTTAGATTTCAGTGGAGTTAATCATTAACACATATGGGATATTAACAGCACTATTTGAAATGTGTGCCAAGTAAATATGCATAGAATTGTTGCTTAAGGCAGCTTGAACATCCCCCCTTTAAAAATGGGTGGATGAAAAAGAATTTGCTTTAATTCTTATGAAAAAGAATTTGCTTTAATATGCATGAGCAATTTTCTTTGTGCTTACTTGCTTTTTCTGATTTTATTAGAAACCACTGCTAACAGCCATCCTAGCTAATTTGCTCAGACAGCAATTTAATCCCCATATCTGCTTGATGGATGGGGTTAAGAGGGGGACAAAGTTGCCTCTCTACTAGCACGAGAGAGTCCTGCCAGCAGAGGGAGGTGACATCCTCCTTGGGCTCCCAGTTATGTTCACAGAGCTCTGAGGGCACAAATCTGTCACTGATGCTGTTTCTGCATCCAGCTGCTTCTTTGCTTCTTTTCTCCCGGTGTTCTTAATCTGAAGTGTGTGTACATGCCTGGGTTTCTATGTGGGAAAGAAGGGCTTTGGATACAGCAGATCTCAGAACTCTCTTACTTGGTACTGGCTTGGTCCTTTTGCAAAAGTGAACACGTGCTTTTTGTTATGTGAATAAACAGCAGCCAAAGGAAAGGCCAAGCAACTTCAGGTCAACAGGGGCAGGCAACTTGCTGGATATTCAAATGCTGTTTTGCTGCACCTCCTCTCTCATCATTGGCTATACTGGCTAAGGCCCTTAAGAGTTGCAGTCAGACCACATATGAAGGAACAGTTGTTCACCCTTGCTATAGTAGAAGGTGGGGAGCAGGAATTTAACTCTGTCTCTCCTTGATTTGGTCTTGATAAAAATCAGCTCTCTGAAGCTGCTGATTGCATTTCAAAGGAAGCATCCTCTGGTGCCAATGAGAGTATGCCCTTGGAATGAAGACAGCAATTTTTGCTGGGACAAGTGCAGGGAGAGAAAAGCGTTAAAACATCCTCCCTTCCCTTCAAGGTTTTGGGGCTATTCATATTTCCCTGCAATTATCTTATACAAAACAAGATGCAAATATTTTGCATTCATGTAACTAACATCTCATCTCCTTTGTCCTTGAACTGCAAGCTATCTGAGAAAAGGAGGGCAACTTTCAAATTTATTAAATAATAAAATTTCACTTATTAAAAATTTTAATTATTAATTTATTAATAAATTTTACAAGTTTTACTTTCTACCCATGATTTTAAACTCAGACATTAAAACATTGTGATTCATGAAGGCATGCTAGTTTTCCAAACAAATTTATAAGATATCAAGAAATATGTTCAGAACAGAACCTGCTAGTCTTTGCTGCTCCTAGACCAACCTGTCCCTTTTGAAGCCTCTGAAGAGAATTGCAACACAAGACTAGTATCAAGCCAGACTGGCTGATAGAGGTGCTGATCCAAATCTCAGAAAGCGAGCTGTTGAATGTTACATAGTTTGCACATTTAAAAATAGCTAAATGGCTTTTTTTTCATAGGAGTAGGCCAAATTTCTCTCCCAAAATACATAAAATCCAAGGTAGGTCAAAGACGTAAGTGATGAGAAAAATCAAAACAGTTGCCAATCTGCTCTAGACTTTTTCCCCTTTACTGTTCTAGGTTCACTGGACGAGGCTGCACAAAGTTTGGAATGAAGTGCTACTGGTATTCTTGTGACGGAAAGAAACAAAAGCTACATTCCAGGAACTCCCCAGACATACTCAATAATACAGAACCCTTTAAGGAGTGACAGTCAGTGCTGCTCGAATTACTACAATGCTCTATGACCTGATGTCAGTCCATGGAATGTAACGAGGGAAAGAAGAGGCAATTTATTCACTTGAAAAATAGCAAGGATCCAACGTTTCCTAATAAGGAGGCTAACAACCCTTTCTTTTGAATCTCAGAATGATAATAATCCCTATCCCATGGGTAATTTTAGTTTGTGTCCATACGAGATTTGGGTCTCTGCAACCCAAGCAGCTTCTGAAGCCATCAGTGTTAAGTCCTGTGTCAGACTAGGAAAATGGGGGCAAGGGGAGATCAGCAAGAGAGATTCAGATGAACAGGGGAATGATTACAATGCACTGATATTCCATTTGCTCTTTCAAATACTGCTTCCTACCCTTCTAGGTTCAGCTACAGCACTACCCAAACTGGGACCTCCAGCATGGTGTTGCTCTGCGGAGTGCTCCTCTTCCATGAGGCTGCCAGCCAGTCAGCCCTTTTTCAGAATGCATTCTGCTTAATGCAGAAAGAGAGGAAAGGTTTAAATTCCCCCTCCATATCCCTCAACTTATGCTATTAATTTTTTAAAACACCAACAAAGATGCATTTAAAATCATTTGGTTGCAAAAAAAAAAAAATGGGACAGATTATTTATATTTTCAGTTTGTGGAGACACGATTCAGAGCAATGCAAAGTTTTCCCCTTGCATGGAATCTGTAAGGCAATACTTCAGCTAAAAGCAACATTTCTCTGAACAGACTATTTTCAGCATTTTACCTTGAGGGCTTTCTGTGCAGCTTCACTTGAACCAATAGCAATGAGGTTTGGCCCAGCCATGCTGCAAAAGCTCTTCAGATGCAAGGAGTCAGAAACAGGGACTGTGGAAACAGCATAATCCTGTACAGAAATTAGGCATTTACAAAGGAAATACATTAGAACTGTAATTTCACAAAGGAACCCAAGTTTGAATGTGTAATTGTTCAGTGCATTAAGGATAAAAGTAGGGTCAAATCTGGGGCAACAAAATATTTCTATGCAGAATTTTGGTTTGTCCAAAATCAAGTTGGACAACTTGATCATGCATCAAGTTATGCATCAAGTTAATATAAGACACCCCATGTTAGCATTTCAAAAGAACAACTAAATAAAACAATGTTTAATTAACAAGCAAAATCTCTCTCAAGATAATTGGCAATTTGACATTAGGCACCTCTAAGAAAAGAAACATGGATTGCTTAAGAGCATGAAATATTATAAAACTGTTCCCTAGTAAGAGAACTGTTCCCATCCATTCTAAAAATGATCAATAGAAGTAAAATATGCTATAATCAATGGGACTTACATCCCTATAACGTATCTAGGATGAGAATATGTTAAAGAATCTTTTGGTAATCGTTTCACACATTATGTGTGTACCTTAGTCTTTCTGCAAACAGCTTACAGTGCCTCACAGATCCCAGGTAGCGTCGTATCTATGCATGCAGTTCTATACATGTTTATGTGGAGGTTAACTCCACTCTTGTCCTCAGGTAAATGCGCATAGACTTTTTGATTTTTTTACTATTATTATTATATAGTCATCCCACTCAGGGTACCATATATAGCCCTCCTCACCACTGTCATGCAGATTGGGCTATGAGCTAGTGACAGACCAACCAAATTAATGATTGAGTTCAGCTCTGAACTTGGCTGCCATCAATTTGAGTCAAACACTTTGTTTTCTATACCACGTTGACATTTTTTGGCTCACCTGGATTTTAATTTACTGTGTATTAATATAGACATGAATAGCAGATCAACCATCTGTTTCACACTCCACCCTCCTTTAACATACTGTATAAGAGTCAAGTAAGATCCAGGTACTTCAAGGCAATGATGGCTTAATGAATGCTAAAAAATTAGTATATTACAAAAAGGTTACATGGTCATCTTTTCCATTAGTTTCAGTTCCTTTCACTCCATTGCTGCCTACAAAACATGCTTCAGTGTATGCTTATCTCCAGGCTATTTCCTTTTATCCACTGCAAAACCTACCCACTTTTTGGTTAGCTCAAGTGTGAGCAGAAATAGATTTGAATCTACTGATACATCTCCAGATGATTTTCAGTAGAATGGATTGAATTTCTAACTCTCAGTTTTTTAAAAATAGCAACAATGAAATGACACCTTGCCTATATTAGGCTGATGAAATAAAGAAAACTTGGAGTGCTTTTATATGGAACAACTGAGAGCACAATTCAGTTTTAAGATTCAAAACAAATTCTTGTGCCTAGTCTTAATTCTAAGAGCATGCCTTTCGCACCAGGATCTAGTTGGTGGATTGCTTGTAAAATCAAAGTTGATTTCACAAGACTGTAGTCTGCTGATCCCTGAACATAATCACTATCAGGAGGTCAATCTGCTGGTCTGCTAACCTTAAAGGTGTCTGCCAAAATTTCTGCACCACGACGGTTGGTTCGTTTTGAAAGACCCACAAAGAATTCTCTGCCTGGGAAAAGAGAACAGTAGTAGGTATGGTCAAGTTCCTATGGAATTATCTATAGAATTTCCTTGTAACTTAAAGATAAAATCTGAATAATTAAACATAGATTTAAAAAAAAAAAAAAACCTCTCACGCATCATTTTTCAATATCAAATTAATTATAGCTTTACATTTTGCAAACATTTATTACAGATTAAACACTAGCTATTACCTTTTAAAATTTGATAGAACTCATAGTTTAATTACTTAATAGCTGGCTTTCTGCTAGTACATGCAAAATGCCATTTGATCTGAAATAATTTTATGCCACCTATCTTGTAAAACATATCCTGGTACTACAGAATGTAAAACTATAAGAATATACATGAATATTCAATATAACTAAAAGATAGTAATACAGAACCAAAGTCCATTAAAACTGAGGCAGTGGAGAACATGACAGGTTTCAAAAAACATCAACACCAAAGGTGATTTTAAAAACCCTCTTAAACAGGATCTTGCTAACGTACTTTATCCCCCCCCCCCCCCAAGAGAGTATTTCAGAGAAAGGGCAGCACTGCAGAAAAAGTCCTCTTTTCTGTTGATGACTTGAAAATATCAAAGCAAATGAGCTTTGGTATTTGTGCATTTCAGACTAGAAATGTATGACAGAGCTAAACATATATCAGGGAAAAGAAAATGAAAAACAGTTCTGAAAAGCCAGCAGGTGTGTAAATCTTCAAAGCACACACTACTCCATTAAAAAGCATTACTATTCCTGCTCTTATTCTTACTCTCTGGAATCAACACAGTAATCAGTGTTTGCTCTATGTTTTGGAGGGACATTGGGCTCTGCACTCTCAGTGAGCTTGCCACTCGAATGGATTCACATGTGTCACTGTTGCAAGTTCCATGACTCCTCTCTCTCTGGGTGCAGCACCACTTCTCAGGGCGGGGTGGGGAAAGAGAGGGATAGAACACAAGACATACAGAAGTAGTTGATTTTTCTTGCTCCCCTCAAAGACAGGTGAGCAACCAGTAACAGTAAGAACAAGGACAGCCTGGAAACTCCTAACCCTGGGCCATTAAGTGGTAAAACTAATCCCATATGTATATGTATGGATTGGCCCCATTCTTCCTACAGAACAGCCTTCAAGACATGTGGAAACAGGTAGTCAGAAGAGGAGGGGTTAGAATTTGCAGCAGAAGTGCCAAGCTCAGTGGACCCAGTGATAAGCCCGATGATCATTGAGAAACAAACAGCCTAGTAAGCATGCTAATGAGGAAGGTCAGCTGAACATCATTAAAACCAGGGCAGGCATCAGGTAAAGAGAGGAGACCAATTGAGAACTATCAGATGATCCAAGTGATGAGGCCTTAAGTAGCAGGATCCACCTTCAAGGTATGGTTTGATCATTTCAGTTATGAAGGGAGTAGAGGTATTCAGCTTGAAATCAACTTATTATCAAGCCACTTTTCTCTAATGACTAGTATTCTAACCACTTGTTTCTTTTGCTATTGACTTATGCAACCCACTTCATTTATGTTTTGAAGCCAGCCTGGCTAGTTTACATTAACACAATAAGTTATTTTAGTTAGAAAGCTATTCTGCTTGGAAGGAGGAAGAGACGAACAACCTTGACATATATATATTAAATCAGGCAGATTGTTCTCCTCACAAATTACATACTCATATTGGCACATGTCATAGGCACAACTGTCTCCAGATTGTGTATGATACTAATACTATTGGAGAATTAGCAATACGTTCTGGGTAGCCCATGTGATCAGTACATTTATAAAATAATGGTGCACTGTGGATCCTGATCATTCATAATATGCAAAGGGCCACTGAATGACAGTTCTTTAGGGGTCGTATTTCATTATCAGCTTGATGCTTGGGCTAGGAGTCCTTTATATATTATCTGGAATGGCAAGGTTTCTGCATCTGTTGTGATTGCTCCCATCCTACTTACTGTGTCTACATCTTCCCATATGTTTAGGGTGGACCATGTACCAAACTTAAGTCCTGAAGTTTTATCAATGCAAATATAACAATTTGTAACTAAAAATATGGTACAATTATAGTAGGGATATAGCCTACTGATGGAATATTTTTCCCTAACTACCACATTATACTTTACATCTTTTCTATGTCAAGTGATTAAGATTTAAGCTAATACTTCTGCTAGATATTATTTCCACTTTGTTCCCTTCTCCTGATGCTATTCTAACATCAGGAAATTTCTGACCCAATGTCAAATGTCACTGCTGGATAAACAAACTAATAAAAAGTTACATTAGGATAAATTGCAGATAGATGTAGTTGTAATCTGTGCAGTGAAAACAAAGTGATAAAGTTGTTTTCTTATTACTGTACCTGTAAATAAAACATCTCCACCATCTAATGTTGCATGGTCATCGGTCATCTCTACAATATTCAGGTTAAGGCTTTCAAGGGCTCTCTTCATTGCTTCAACCTGTTAAAAGAGGATATGCTTTAGAATTCCATTTAAGGTTATAATTCACATATTTTTAAAAATGCTCACTGATGGGATTCAGGTTTGCTCAGCTGAGACATCTATGAATCAAACAGAAAGAATGCTTGGAAAAATAAAAAGTTAAACAAAGTTTAGAGAACTATTTTTCCATTGGGCATGCTGAAAAAATATCATTGGTACTGGTATTAACAGGAAGGTCTACTCTCAAGGCTTATTCTAGTGAAAGATAACTGAAATGAAAGTTAAATCCAAAACATTTTGCTTTAAAAATTCATAATAATGTAAAGAAACAATTTCCACATTTAATGTTAACCTTCAACTTATGCTAACCTGCTGTCTTGAGGAGTCTCCAAGATGTATTTCAAAGGCAAAATTTTCACTGTGTATCAGTCATGCCTACCTTACAAAATTTGAAATTAACTTTCAGGAAACCTACCAGAGGTTGGTCTCTGCACAGTTTTCTGGATACCCATATAAAAGTACGTCAAGCCTATGGAGCATTTCAACTGATACCAAGCTCGAACGCTTCTGTGCTCAAACACCTTTGATCTTTCTGTAGAAAGATGTCAATTCTGCTAATACATGTGGTGATCAGGTGAGGCAGACCAGTATTTTCAATGAAGATTTCAACATTTCAAAGTTGCCTACTTCTTGATAAAACAGAACAACTCTGCTATGATTTCTGTATTGTCTCTAAGCACCAATTTGTTGATACAAGTAAATATTTAATTTGGTCAGTTAGGCATTTGCTTTGGTCAAGTTGTCCAAAGCAATAAAATAAACCATGTTTGTTTATCAAGTATTGAAGTGCTTTTAGATTCTATGTTCCAAATAATTCAGTGACCCTTTGGTATCATGGATGCTGCTGCAGCTGCAACATGTAAATTTCTGATTCACTACATACATAAGTCAACAAGGGACAAATATAGCATTGGAGCCAGCCTATGTACTTAGTTACATCTAGTGCATAGAACTCACTGCCATAGGAAGTGGTCAGAGCAGTAAGAAAACCAGGGTGAAAAGAAAACAAGAGGCAAGTTCTTGGAATATCAAGAGTCATGCTGGCACAAATTGCTTCTATGTCTATGAAACAGTGATGCCTAGTGAAGTGGGTATGATTGAGAACAGGCTAATTTGTCTTTCTGGAATAGATGGGAGGAGGTAGGTAGGTAATTAAATGAATAATAAAACACTGAAGGCTTCACTAGACTGGATGATCTTAGTTTGATAACTAGCAGTAATATAAATAGCTTGAAGCATGTTTCAAGCTTCCAAGTTTCTCGTCTCTCTCTGGACCATAGGAGTTTGGTGTTCACATGTAACAATCCGTTTGCCAAGGCTTAATAGCAGCTGTAGGGGAGCTGTATAAAAAAATACCCTTTCTCTGGTAAAAGTCATAATCATAATGTACATGTCTCTCCCTCCCCATGGGTTATTAGTAGCTCCAGAGGAAGGAAGTTTTAATCAGGTGTAAAAATCTCAACTTCGAGTAGCTATGCAGGTTAGCACAGTGCCTGAAGGACTAGTAGCACAGACTAGTGAGATGCTGAGCCTGGTTCCCTACACTTGAACCTAACCCTAATAATTAGGTCCACCTGAGATCCCTGAGAACTGAACTCTGAAGTGCAGTATTTTGAACCGCCTGTATCTCCAACTTCAGGACCTTGGGCTCTACTGAACCCACTCGTGAACACAAGCAACAAACTGTGACAAATCATAGAGAGGGGGAGTTATGCTAGGATCCATGCCAGAGATTTGCCCCTTTAAACCTCCTCACTCCTCCACAAAGGGGTAGCCCTTGAGATGAACAGTATGCAAGTTTAGAAGAGCTCTATTGAGGCTACACTGTGGTCCAGAAAGTTGTCTGCTCCCTGGCCTCTGTCCGGGGTCCTGAATCCACCCCCCCCCCTTGGAGTTCTGAGTTGTGATTGAATCCTGCCCCTCTTCTCTGCTGGTCTAGACTACTTGCAGGGACTGCATCTATATGATCCTCCAACATGGTCTATTTCATCAGGACGGGGTAGGAATATGGCATGAGGGGAAATGGTTAATCTTCCAATGCTATGTCCTGAATCCAGTCCAACCCCAATTTCCACTCCTACTCCATGCCAGTGCTTAGTGATCTCTCTTCTCAGAAGTTCTTGCTCAAAAATATGTATCAGAGAATGTTTCTAAGACATGACTATTATGTTGTACACTGCCTATAATATTTCTCACAGAAATAACTGCAAATGAAAGAAAGTTAATGATAAGATTAAGGGATTTCATGTGAAGGGCATTCTTATTTGCCACTACATTCAAGTCTCCTGAAAGATGTTTTTCATATGAAGGGTGCTAATATTCTGCAATATATGATAGAAAAAGTGCTCAAAATTCTTGATCCAATCTTATCCAGAATATTTTACATGTCAAGAAATGACTCAAGTTAAGGGAACAGATTCCTTTTTAGTTTTGGCTGTCAAAGGCTTTTTCATCTTCAAGGTAACAAAAAGAAATTTCAGTAGGAAATATGGAATCTTTGTGGATTCACTACTTGCTTCTATCTAATGAAGTTTACATTCACTGTAAGTACCCAAGGGGGGAAATATCTTCTCTTCCTTTCATCCCACCTCCTGTCAGCAAGCATTCTCGAGTTAAAATAGCATCCAGCATAGGATAATTCTATCTGCATCTGAGCAAATACCATAATGCATTAGGTCCCGACGCAGTCATACTTGGAGGAGACACACTGGAAGCAATGAGGCTTCAGTAAGGTTAACATCTTCCATTGATTTTAATAGATCTACTCCAAGTGACTTAATCTGGATGAATTTCTAAAAGTTGTAACCTCTAACCAGTAAATGATTTCCAATGGTGGATCTTCCCCACAGAAACATCACCATGTTGAAAATGCACAGCTGCATTTCTCTCCTAGAGCTACATGTATATACACCTTTTGTCTTTCTTAAGAACTGTAGAGTCAACTTTGAGAATATATGATGCAAGACTTTTATAATAACTGTTACCCATTAATATATCAAGTGGCTGAATGCTTAAACCTTTATTGCTTTGTACAGTGATTTTCCCCCCTAATAAGCACATTCCTGTTGTGAGATGGAATGTATCTAATCCATAATAAATCTGGTTGAGAGACTCTGGTTTTAAGCCAGCTGAGCTCTGTTTGAAGGAAAGGGATATTAAATGTGTTTGATGGCATTTATAAGAATCCAGTTTCCTCAGTCCTTGCTGTTTAAAAAAGGAACTCATTAGTCTCTGTATAAATGTGGTCCATCAGATATTTCAGTTACTATATGTAAAATACCCTTCCTTTCTATAACTGCAATAATTTGCCTAAAATGAAAGACATTTCTTAGAAGTTATTTATTGGCAGTCAGTTATCTCAAGTCTGGCAACTAAACAAATGCTTTCAAAATGAGAGCAGAAATGACAGATTGATGAGCAGAATGCGGGAGAGAAAAGAAATAGAAAAATGGCTTCTTTGTTTTCTTAGCTGTCCAGTCCAAACAGCATACAACTTTTTACAAAATTGACTTGCAGCTAAACACATAGAATAAATGCCTTTGTGGAAATCTGGATCCGTATCGAAATTCTATAGTTCTACGACTTTGCGTTCATTCCTTGGAATGGTTAAAATAACAGCTATATGTAACTAAACCTACACAGAAGCTGAAATGCCATTCAGTGGGGACTGAATTTCTTCCTTCATGAATGCTTTGTTCAGAACTTACTGATAAATAATGGGCTTGGGGAGAGTATGTAAAGTCTGTTTCTGCCTCCAAGTCCTGTTTTGTGAAAATATGTAAGAATACAAGCAAACCTAACAGCACCATCTTTAAACAAGCACCTGAAATAACTACAGAAGCAAACAAATAAGCAAACACTACTATTTTAGGTTCTTTTCAATGTTGCGTTCTAAGGACTCTTCACCACCTTTCACAAGTATGCCAGTTTTTGTGCTTCAGGTTAAATGGATGTTAGAGCAGGTCTAAGAGTTATGTTTTTGGGTTCAATGTACAGGCTTGCATCTCCTTTACATTTGCAGTTGAAAACTTATTTTTCCATGTGCATATACAAATGTTGGATGCGTTCATGTGCAAAGGTAGGTCTGCGTTTCTGTGGACACACAGTACCTAGATATGTGGTTTAATTTTAATCATCACTTACCCCTACAACCAGGCCCCAGGGATGAAGTCAAAGACCTGCACATTCATAACTATTAAGCATTTTTTCTAACTAATTTTACTTTCAAGTGTTTTCCTTACCTCTTCTTAAATGGCTTTTGAATCTCTCTGATAACTGAAAAGCTCTTGGTGCAAAAGCTGGGAATCTGGTTTTTAAAAACAACACTTAGTATTACAGACTTATAAAACCATTTTCTGTTTAGAAACACAGACGCTTTCTAACAAAATTGAAGTTTAACAACAGAGATGGATAAGAAGGTCAAAAAGTACTCTTGCCAGAAGTACTATGAAAATATATGAAGGTAAATTGTAAAACTATTGACAATATTGACTGAAAATTAGTTTGCTTTCTGCAAAACACCAGTAAATATTTGACTGGATAGATATGACAGAAAATTTGCATCTTATCCAAATATGCTGAGAAAGCAACTTAAATACTTCTCTGTTCGCAATTACAGAGTAGCTAATTGTTGGCTGCTGGGTTGAGAAAGGCAAGTCTATTCTGCCTGGACATGCACGGTAGGCCAAGAATGCACCTGCATAAGCCAAGCATTCAATATCTTTGAGACACCTAATATCACATAATACCCAGAGCGACTGCTAGTTCTAAGTCCACCATTGACCACATGCCTTGTGCCCCACTTTGGGTTTTTTTCTGCAATGAAAAGTATTTAAAATTCATGAAGCTTGCTGAAAGCTCAGCTGTCGCATTCTACTCATTCCAAAGTGCATGGGAAAAAGAGCATAATGGACATTTCAGCTGGAGCTATTATTTCCCATGAATAACGAATATTCCAT